CCCCGCACAACCCCCTGCGCAAACGCATCAAACGCGTTTACCGCCGTTCACTGAACGCGAGTTCACTGCAGTTAAAAGTTGAACGCGAAATGCGCATTCAATGAACACGCGGTAACAAAGAGCTCTCTTTAAAAAATTGGAAGCTCGAGGTTAGCATGATCAGTGAGGGTCGGTTAATGAAAGAAGTGAGAGGTGAGTTGATGTGGGAGTTGGGCGATTCTCACTTGGATGATTCGTAGGTGAACGAAGTTTGATGTTGTTGCGGTTCTTCGATTTATGTCTTGATGGCGATGAGATATCCCCCTAATGGCCACATAACTGCTTTTTGCTCGAACAAAAATGGCTGAGAGACTATTGCATGATTACATGAACCTTCATTTGCATAGGTGATTGGCGGATAGATCGATCCATAGCGGACCAACCCCGCGAGTAAGTGCGATCTGACAAGCGCGACTTACACGCGCACCAACGAGGCCGGCCTGGAACCCCAAATGGACTTAGCACGACAGATCTCGATGTGAATGACGGAATCTCCATCTGCGATACGGGTCGGCACAAATGAAAGTTCTGACGCCATACGGGAACCGCTGGGTGTGCATGCTTTGCGAATGTCCAAAATGAAACAAGATTGATAGCCTAAGGGAACTAGTTGCATGGTCGATCCGGTACGCTGACAGATCGTTCCTTGATTATTTGCCCAGTATAGGATCTCACCAACTGGCCGGTGCGCACGAGCGTGTAAGACAGCAGCCATCCTAGGACTTGCCATCTACATGCGCGCCTGCAAAAACCAGCGACGATCTCGCCTCGTAGGGAGACGTGTGTGCATGCATTTGGTTGAACGAGACATGGCGATAGATTCCCCTTTCTGTATCACCGATCGCGAAAGCCTGAGGGACCCAGAATATCGACCATATTGCAAGAGGGAACATATCCGCAGGCAGCGTATCCGACAACGTCCAACAACGTCGCCACCTACAGTACGCTCGGTACCTTGAGTACGCCTGCCGGACTGAAAACGAGCGACTGTGCAAGGGCGACTTCCAGCTGGCAATCAACAGAGACCAGCAGATTCCCGATTATCCCGACAGCCAAAACCAGCAATATCTTCTAACCTCAGGCTTCGTTGCCAGCACCACTGACTTCCTTCTCTACTATACTGTCCTCCCTTACCACCGGTTACTCGTGGTCCCCTCGGATTCCATAGCCCGGTTCTGGCCCCGTCCGCCGTGCTCGGAGTGTTGGCAGCCCAACGAGCATCGGCAGGCGAGAGTCGAGCAACGAGCCCACCCCCGGACCGAGTAACGAGAAACCAGCTCATCTTCGTAGGACCCCGGGACTTACGACGGCCAGCAGCGGTACGAGTACTCCCACAGAGACACCGTAGCACCCCACCCCAGTCCAGGCAGCACAATCAATCATCGCCCCAACTCTGAGCCAGAAGACACTTGCACTCCTACCCCTGCAACTGGCCACAGGAGATCTGAGTTCCGACTTAGGACTCCACCCCAAATCCCCAAAAATCCTTGGCACACCCCTTTTCGCACTTCCAGGCCCCCATCCCACTCCGATAAGGAAGTCGTGTTGGGCGTGAGGTTGATATCAAAGCCGACACGTGGCGAGCTCAAAGGGAAGTAAGCCGGATAGACGCTTAGACGATCTGGCGAATAAAGGACGACCTAGACAGCGGAACGCGCCTCGACGCGATCCAATAGTACTTAGGAGTCCATCAGCCGGAAGACAGGCCGTCAATATGAACGCCAATCAAGCGCCAAACGTTAATGTACAGTTGGGCAGGGCACCTGTCCCCACACCACCTGTTCGAGTTCGCGCACCTGCTGCTCCCCCCGATTTGTATCTCGTCGACCCTGCGCATCACCTAGCCGGGGTATGGCTGGCCACCCTACGGGATCAACAGTACGACAACGACGAGGCCCGGATCAACATCCCCGCCAGACTGGGAGGGGATGCGCACCATTGGTTTAGCACCTACGCCTGGATTGATCTCCCGACCTTCGAGAGAGACTTTCTAAATAGGTTTGATTATATCCACCCTGAACAGACTTTCTTTATGATCAAAGATCATGTACAGAAACCGCTCGAATTAGGTTTTATAGGTTGTTTCTCAAATCCGAGAGGGGCGAGAAGGTAGGAAGAGACTTATTTATCGACGGGCTTCGAAGTCGAGCGATGAGGGTCAAACTGCGAAAGCAGTTTTGCCCCATCAACCACACCATGCAGCAGATCATGGACGGAGTCGAGAAGATGGAAAGGAAATTCGCCGCCAACTTTTTGGAAAGCGAGGATCATGCCAGAGATGGGGATTCCTCGGAGCTGGCTCCGGCGAAAGATGAGCTGGCAGCACTTCAGAACAAAGTCGAAAATATGGGTTTCGTCTCCGGACCCATTACCTACCTAAAATAGGTCGAGGCCAAGAAACCGATACCCGATACAATCACAGAGTTACCCCCCGCGATCACATCATCGCCTCCATCGAATGCCCTGCACAGCCTAGCGAATCCAACGCAATATTAGAATTAACTCGAAAGTTAGTTAATTTGATGCAGGAAAGCAAAAAGGAACAGTGCGAGCACAACGCACGGATCGAATCGATGATGAGGTCGATGCGTCCCATTACCGTTCGGGCAGCCCCAGGAATGAAAGGAGCGGCCCCTGCCCCGACAGTAGGAGGGGCCGCAGCCAACACGAGTGTTTGTTACACGTGTCACCAGCCATGACACATAGCCCGGGATTGCCCCCACTTACCTGCACAACCCAGAATCGGAGTCGCGTCAGTGGCAGCGGCCCGGATCGCTAACGGACCTGGTCGGGTGGCTACGATGGTAGAAGAAACGGACAATGGTGTGAACCCGTCGGCGGTTACGGAGGAGGCAGCCAGACTTATCTCGCTTGAACAATATCTATCACTAGGATATCCCGGCCTCGGTATGATTGGGGCCATCCAGCCCGCCCCCGACCATAAGTATCGGAATGGAGACCCTCCCTGAACGAGATGGAAACAAGAGGACCTGTGTTCGTTACGGGAGAAATTGACGTTTTGGACATCGTCCGAGCGTTAGACCATCGTATTCCCCTACCAATCGGACACCTATTGTCTATCTCCGAACAAGCTAACGATCGGATGCTACAGCATTGCAAGTGGAACCGAAAACGGTTCGCCCTTGCCAGGCTAGCAACTGCGAAAGGCAAGACCCCCGCCAAGGAGCCAAGATCTGACATGCCGAGCACTTCAGAGCCTGTTCGAATGGGCGTAATCCAAAAAGATAATCATTTTATACGAATAAGGGTCCTTCCATGAAAATCCGCGGAATGTAACGTGGAAGTTTGGGGAAACCCCTACAGCGCGGTCCTTGATTCTGGAACCGTGGTCCTGGCCAATTCCTTGCGAGTGGTCGAACGGGCCGACAGGCAAAAGGACGTAATCCCACTCGCGGAAGGTGATCATTTCGTATCCGTTGACGAAGGTAAGGTCCGAGTCATAGGGAGGATGGCGAACGTAGCCTTCTGCATCGGTAAGGTCAATGCCTTGGGTAACGTGGTGGTCCCAAACGTGAATACATACGACATTCTTGTCGGATTACCGGCCCTCACAGCGTTGTGAGCCACGCTGGATTTCGAATGACAAGCCGTTATCCTAAACAACACTGGAGGAAAACCGTACGCCATCTCGATGCGTCTCACCCTCAAGACAGCCTCGATGATCGAGTGACAACGATGGGAACCTGGCCCGATTCTGAGAATGATACGATGGGAATAATCCATGGATGACTCCGACACTGAATGAAATGAGGCTTCCTTGCCATCGATCACCTCCGAAAGTGAGGAGGAGAACGACCCGCATATTCTTGAACTAACACGACGGATAATCCGTTACCCGGTTCGACAGAAAACGAAGAAGACGTTCGTATTTGGTGAAGAGGCAGCCCGGCGAACTCGGACCCTTATCTTAGGTGAACCATTGGTACAGGTGTCACGGATACCCGATTTTTTGGAACCCCCTCGGACCCTATACGAGGGAGCTGCCCCACTGCTACCATGATACTTAGACAAATGATCATTTTTCTGCATGGAAAAAGAAGTGGAGACACGGGCTTCGGAACCCCCTGGGTACCCCGAAGCCTCGTTGTTCGAGATGGGAATATGAATCGCCGAGAGGCCGATAAATTTCCGGGATGTCGAGGACGGGATAACCCCTGAAGAACACGTGGCCTGTGTATCTTTTTAACGGAGAACGGGCGGAATTCAACGCCCGAACACCCGTTTAACGGATCCAGGACCCCTGTTAAATCGCGTTAAACGCAAAAACAGGGGTGTTTCGTCGAATTTTGAAAAACGCAATTCGCGTGTTGGGCCTCGGACACGTGTACCTACGTGCCCGAACACTCAAACCGGGAAAAAAATAAAAATTTTACCACCCCCCCATAACCCCCCCACATCCCTTATGGCCCCAAAAACCA